GGCGTGTTGTCGCGATGTCACATTGTCGCTCGGTTCAAATCAAGGATTGTCTATAAGCCAAGCGACAGGGCGACATCGCGATAATGCACCGCAAGACAACGCGCCCTAGCGTGCTTCGCTAGGGACATGACGAAAATTCGACAGCGTCCCGTTTGGATGTATTGGACATACATGTGAAGGACAGACGGACGAAAAGCCATAGGACCAATAAGCTCACCAGTTGGTCGAGATTTAAAAGTCTATGTATCATTCATACATTTTACCTGGTTTATAAAGAAAATATCGAGGTCTAACCGAAATCTGGGTATAAACTATAATAAAATCAGATAGAAATCGCTTGGTCTATGCTGTAACCCAGCACAATTCACCTCGCTCTATTCTGTAACATTGTTTATTTTTTCAAACGCATTTGACGAGCAGTAAAATAGATTCAACTGGCCATTTACTTTTATAAACGTTTCTTAACAGAAAGGACTAACGTTTCGTAGGTTTACTTTTTGTAGGCAGTCTTCAATAATGTCGAAATTGAAGAAAAATCCGTTGGTCTCTCGATTCGAATTTTCAATCTGTCAAATCAACACATCTTTGATACAATATAGAGATGATACTGCGGTGCAGGGTCTGAAGAAATATATGACAAGATACCGGATCCTGACAAAAAACATCTCTTAGAAACAAAACTACTTGTAGTATGGACAAGAATAAAAATCACCTACCAGTCTTCCCCACAAATAACCCTCCATCTTGAAAATTCTATACTGTAACCTGATTTCAAGCGCGATACTGTAAAACGCTCCCTACGGTGATTTTATTCAGGGTGCAACTTCCCGAGGTATAGGGGTAACGCGCTCGTTTAGGGTGTGAGAGTTCTGGGGTTCAAATCCCAGTCGAGGCAATTATTTTTTTATTTTTAATTTTTGAAAAAAAAATTTGAAGTGTCTTTTTTAAGGAAGTAGCAACGATATGCAATGATAAAGTGCGGCTGTCATAAAAAATGAACATAAATGATTTCATGATGCAACTCTAGTCATGCAAAATTCCGCATGTATCAAACTCAAACTGTTATAGTAAAAAATCTAAACGCAGTCGCTGCATCTCCATGTCCTGCAAGATGAATTATAGTATATGAAACTTATACAGGAAAATACATACAGATATACAGTACGATTTAGATTGCAAAGATAAAAAATACAACAGAGCTTGCAGCCCTTTGACAATTTATTTTGAATTTGAATTATTATTTAGCCAAGATGTTGTTATTGGCTCCGTGGCTCAGTGATGTAAGTGGTTATGCTTTTGGTCAGTGTCTGTGGGAAAGATCCATGTTGGTGTGAGTTCAAGTCATGAAGATGGCTGTCCTATATAAATAACTCATGTGACTAAAGAAAATTTCTGTAAATATCCAGTAACGTTCAATTAATAAGAAAGAAAAGTAGGTCAGCCTATTCTGCTTTTTATATTTTAGGCAGATTTATATTTGTATCCAAACATTTCCCATTATCATGTGTTGGTTATTCACCATTTTTTGTTTCGAAATGTAAATTGTCAACATAACTCTGTGTATGTTGATGTTGTATTACGTTAGGATTTTACTGAGAAACAACCTAAAACTCCGAATCCATCCAAAAATTTAATCGAAGCTTGGCTTCCAGCTTTCTACAAAATTTATCTATCAGGGCTAGGATCCAAAATTATTTAGCCAATCAAATTTGATTTTACATAGCGTCAAAAAACCTTCAATTTTCACGCCATTTTTAAAAAGCAGCAAGTATTGTTTTGAGCGCAAAGATATAATGATGATTAAAATGTTTGTTTTCATGGATTCTTTTCAATAAATCATATTTACACTGACTTGATTTCGCGATTTCACCAGTCCTGTTTTCTCTGTAGTAAGTTTTCGTTTGGTAAATTAACATAAACGACATCTGGTTCTGTGCATTTTTTCTTTTTTCCTTTTTTCCGGTCATTTCATCCTTTCCGGTATTTAGTGTATGTATTTACTAGCCGGGATCCGGGACGCCCGGGATCCGGGATCGTATAAGATATAGAGGAAAAAAACTAATAAACTTTATTTGTGTTGATTATTGTCGTAATGAAAGGCATTAAACGTTAAAGTTTTTTTTTTTATGTAATGAAAGTTAAATTAATTTAACTTAGGATAAAGATATATTTAGAGCTATTAATTAACAAAATCACAATACTTATAATTATATGCCTAATTAATTGGAAAAATCAAAGACTATATTCTTGAATTGGTCAAATCCCGGGATCCCTATATGTTTTAATACGATACGATCCCAGCTTTTCTGAAAACAATATTCTTGAACTGGCCAATTCCTGGGCTCCTATTTTTTTTAAATAGGATCCCGGCTTTTCTGGCTGAATTGATTAACAACTTGTGTTTACTTTAGGACCTGTGTCTGTCACTCATTCCAAAACTAAATAACATATTACAACTTAACTTCGTATAAAGAGACATCTTTATGAATTCTACTTATCTATTTTTTTTCTGGTCAAGGTCAACAGGCCATATAGTAAATGTGACTTCATTCTGTCTGTTTACATGAATCTTCATATATACTCATATTCCTCTTTGTTAAACTGAGAGAACTGGCTTCCATTACTTTTATTTTGATGTTCGCTGAAGTCTCTACAGCAAACAGAACTGTCATTTTTACATTTAAACACACCCCTGGAAAGAAATTACGAAGCGAGTCGCTACTAGCTTTTTTAAAAGCTAACCTTGTTATGAATTTATATTGTAATGTTCTCTGCTAGGCAGAGAACTTCAAAATATACTATTTTTTTCGAATAGTCGAGCATTATATAGCCCACGTTGGTTAAAGTTTTTGCACTTTTATTTGTCAATTGGGATTCATATACCAACGTACAATCAAAAAATGGATTACTTTAGATTTTAAAAATTAGCACAATAAAAGATAACAAGAGAGTTGGACAATAACAATTTTCTGAAAAAATAGTAAAATATTGTTAAAAAATATTTTAAATCTTAAATTATTATATTTCATTTGGTTTTTAGGGCTACAAAGGGAAGTAATAGAGTATATAAATCCTTTGTTACTTCCCTTACAGACCTAAATGATTTACAACCAACCTTGCATTGATCTGATCTCAAATATGATTATTGATTCATCTATTATTCATAATAATGCAATATAAAATTTACAAATTAAATAAATTTGTAAATCCATGCAACCAGAACCTTTGTATAGTGTATGACTTAATGTACTTTGAAATAAACTCTTGAAACTCTTTAATTCGACTTGTCGAGCATTGATACATGTATTTATTATATACTTACAAATGAAATATTGAGAAATATTGATGAAATAAAATGCGTATTTTCATTTTCCGTATTTTTACTGTAAAAATTTATTTTTCACTGCAGTGAAACATATTTTCCGTATTTTCACTGGTGTCTTGCCGGACTACTTTCTTTTAAATTCTGCCAGTACACAAAATTTAAGGGAAAGTCTTTCAAATTTTAATGTCAAAAATGTATATAATAAACAGAAAATTCAAGTTTTTTCTATTAATACATGATTTATTTTCATCTTGTGGCATGAAAATTACCATATTTCACTCGTGGCTACCGCCACTCATGAAATATTTATTTTCATACCACTCGATGAAAATAAATCATGTATTTATAGACAAAACTTGAATATCCTCTATATACATTTTAATTTATTTAATTCATCAACGTCGCTACATTTAGCTTGGGCAGCTAAAATTAAATCGGAACAGTTAAGACAAATATTAAATTAAATTCTTTAACTAATGATCGAATAATTTTAAATGAATTTCAAAGTATAATTGTCAATTGTGACTCATGTTTATTTAATTTAGTTAATTAGTTAATTAAAGCTGTTTTCTCACAAGTGGAAAAATATAGCTAATATATGATGTCTTTTTTCTTATTATAATTGTAAAATAACTGAAATTAATGCATCTCTAGAGACGTTCCTTCTACATAACTTAAATGAAGAGAACACCGTAGTCAAATATTACTTGTTGCTGCCACACCAATAAAGATGTTTAAACATTTCCTCAAGCAAAATAATTTGCTCATAGTTAGCTGTATGGGATGTGATGTTTTGATTCATTAAGCAACAACTTTCAGTATGAAAATTGACAAATCTACATTTGTTATGTCAGTTTCTTTATTTTTTAAACTTTTTACTTATACTTACCTCTGAGCAATTGTATACATCGGAAGACATGTTCTAGAAACTTAAAAATCATTTTCTCGGGGAATCATAAAATAATATTTTTCATGCGCGAATTTACATTTAAATAATATATATGCAATGGTGTCGATTGTAGTGTTACTAATACTTCATGCTTGTAGTTAGATTATTTTATTTTAAACATAGTTTATTTCAAACAACTTCATGGTATATATACAAATTATAACAACGAAATCAGACGAATGGTGTTTAAGAAGTTGGCGTACGAATATTGTGTTTTTACGGAAATTGATAATTTGACACAGTCCACATGACAAGTGTATAGTGATTATGTATTTTATTGTTCTCTGCTAGGCAGAAAACTTCAAAGAATACTAATAGTCGAGCTATATAGTCACACTTTGGTTAAGTTTTGATCATCGATTTGTCAATCGGGATTCATAAACCAACATACAATCAAAAAGTAGATTACTTCAGATTTTAAATAATAGTAAAAGTTAGTAAAATAAAAGATAACAAAAGAGTTGGACAATCTTACTTTTTCTAAAAATAGTTAAATATTGTTGACAAATATTTTTAATTTTAAATTATAATATTTCATTTGGTTTTTAGGGCTACAAAGGGAAGTAATAGAATTTTTACTTTGTTACTTCCCTTACAGGAATTTGTAGTCGTGTAAAAACGACCTATAAATGATTTACAACCAACCAAAGGTGCTGTTTGCATTGATTAAAAACTTCCGATCACTTTATAAGGAAATACTAAGTTACGGGCCGCAACTTAGTATTTCCTTATAAAGTGATCGGAAGTTATGTTTTTGGCGGCAATAGTGCACGAGTCTTTTGTAATTAGTAAAGGGGGCATTCGAGCCGTTTAGATGTGCAATTTCCGAAAATAATGAAATATTTTCGAGTCAAGTCAAGTCAAAAACATTTATTTCTCTCATTCCATGTACAAACATGACACAATGAGGTGACAAACATGACTAAAAGTACAATGAGGCTCAAATAGCAGTTACTTAACATGCTAGCGAACAACTATAATGATAAATGATTTGATATTAAAATGATAGATTTGAATACTTTCAATTATCAAGTACGTGGAGAGCCAAAACTATTATATATGTTGATATATATACATGTATTGCGAAAACGTATGAACAAAGAGAGAAAGCTGATCTTACTTTCAAAAATAGTTTTATTCTCTGTATTTGACCAATGTGATTCGATTGTGATGGTGAAAAATGAATTTAGATTGGTAGGTTTGATGTTAAAGAGAAAAAAAAAGAAGAAAAAAATAGATATAAAAGGGCAAATGGACAAAAAAATACATGTGTAGTATTGAATTGACGATTACTACTCAATAGTCATAATAACAATCAATATTTTAAACATATTCATATCACAATATCCTGATGCGAAAAACGTATCAAACAAAATGAATATACTACATGTATTTCAGTAAACATACGAATAATTTTCAAGGTATAACTGGAGAAGTCTAATGTTTAACAATAACAAAAAAGATAGGGTGACTACTTTAATACTCTCAAGGAATGGCAGATTAAGGGAGATAACAAAAATAGCTTTACATAGCAGATGTTCCTTTAATTAAAGCAGCACGCCTCCAGATTCATTCTAATTTTCATGAAAATTTTGAAAATGTATTTGAATGTATTATATTGTGAAATAACCAAATGGAAGCCATTTGCACATTATCAATGGCACTCACAAGCCATGTTAAATACCAAAAAGTGGTCAAAATATGCATAAATAATCCTTATTGCGTTAGTTACGCAGTAGAAAGATAGTTGTAAATACTAAAAAATCAGTCATTAACCGCAAATAACATGTAAAATATTACTTGAATCTTGAATCATTTTACGTTTCCTAAAATCATAGTATAAGTTTGATTTTATTGAAATATTTTGACTCATCTGGAGGCATGCAGCTTTAAAGTTAGGTAGTATTCAAGTGTTTTATTATGCAAAATGAATTGAATATAAATTATAATGTAATTTAAAGAAAAGTTTTCAGATCGGATGGAACTGGTGTTCTCCGCCTACACTATCGTGGACCTGAACTCAACCACAGCACTACCTGGCAATAAGGTCTTCATGCGAGGACACCTTTACAGCTTATCTACTTTATGAAATGTAACCATACCGACAGGCAACGATTTGAACATTGGGGCTAACATGTTTGTTTCAACATTCACATTTTGTTATAGTTATGTAGCAAAGGGATTCTTAAATTCTTTTTTTCCCTTTTCATTTCTTATATGTGCTGACGGATCTGCACGTACATATTACTATTGTAGCTTTCGACAGACAACTTACAGATTAATAAATGTAAACAATACCACTAAGATTTTAAGCTTAAAGTGATTTACTAAGGCTGCAAGAAATTACGGTATTCGTGTGACATGGACAGCGGTGTTAACTTTTCAAACAAGTTTTATACAATTTTAGACGTTGAAACCGCCGTCAAGCATTAATTACCTAAAAAATTAAAACAATTTATTTCTTAAAAGATAAATCAACTTACATTATTTATATCATTTGATAGTTATTAACCTTTTTGATTGTTCCCAGCCTCTTGTCTAACATTAAGAAATTCTTCAAAGATAATTGAGCCGCGCCATGACAAAACCAACGTAATGCGTTTGCGACCAGCATGGATCAAGACCAGCCTGCGCATCAGCTCAGTCTGATCAGGATCCATGCTGTTCGCTTACAAACCCTATTACAAGTAGAGAAACTGATAGCGAACAGCATGGATCCTGATCAGACTGCGCGGAGGCGCAGGCTTGTCTGGATCCATGCTGATCGCAAATCCACTATGTTGGTTTTGTCGTGACGCGGCTCATATGTAGTTTAAATGCATTGCCACCTAATCTTGCACATTGATGCACATACAAACACAAAATACAAAATTAGAAACTGAAGATGAGATTATCTTATTATCATATTTATGTAGGAAAATAAAGTTTCTTAAGCTAAAAAAATAATGTTTATAATATTTAAGTGTCTATATACATATATACATAAGAACGTGGAGCCGTCTCGCATCGGTATTTGGAATCGGCAATGTGGTCAACTTAAGTTATGTGAAATGCGTATAAAGCATCACTAATGCCGTATTTTTCTCCCTTTTTACCATACATGGTAAACCGATACCCCTTTGGAGGTGAAGTCACTCTTCCAGAGAACAGGGTTCCGTGCTTTTCAAGGTATGTATCTTCTACTCTGATATGTTGTAGATAAGGCGCTGTGATACGAAACTGAATTTCAGTGTTTTCTGGTAAGTTTCCTTTCAGAGGCTCATGTAGAATGCATTTCTCATCAGATGCCGCTTCATATGTTTTTGGATATTCATGGTTTTTGTCCTCAACTTCAATGCACTTGAACTTGTATTTAATTATTTGAGGAATGCCATCACTTTTATCATCAGACGTAAGTTCACCAAATATGGATAACTGGTAATCACCTGGCTGTCGTGGATGTACTAAAATCTTGTGGACACCATTTTCCTGGATGTCAAATGTTGCATTTCTTTGTACTTTTAACCACCTTCTTGTTTCAAGCACTAACTCAGAACTTAATGTGATATCTTTCCTTTTATCACTTTTGAATTCCATATGTAATTCATTTTTCATTTCAAAATATGCGGTAGTGTGACTAACCGCCCGTACTCCTATTTTGAATGCTTGAGGACTATATTTGACATTAATATTGAACTCTTCCAGGCTTATCGGTTTGGATAATAATTGCCATTTCTGACTTTCTTTTAAGTTATCATCCATGTATGGAAAATGATCAGAAACAAATTGCTTTGGGTCTGTCAGGAAGTAGAAGTCATCGAATTTCTTTTTGAACATATTAGACTTTCTATCATGATGTCCAGCGCCCCATGTACTATCCAATAGATACCATTTCCCCTCAAGTTGGACTGCATTCCAGGCATGATCTGTCCTTGTGTAGAGAGTGAATTGTTTGGAAGGTGAATAGCCATAACCCTTCGAAAATCCAGATACTTTCTTTACAGGAATTCCGGCTTCGCTTTGAAAAGATGAAATTAATAACATGTATATTTACATAGAGGATATTTGTTTGTTTTGCATGTAAGATCGAAATATAATTTCACTGAGTGAACACCAGATGCAATATTTTCACGAGTGGCGTAGCCACGAGTGAAAATATAATAGCTGGTGTTCACGAATGAAATATATTTCAATCTTATATGTAAAACAAATAAATTTTCTTTTTATTTCATGATTTTTAAGTGATTTTAAGTATTTTTTACTGATTTTGCCGCGTAACGTTGCGCATTCTCCTTTGTGACGTCATCACATCATGACGTCACATCATCAATTTTTAAATATAGTTCTGCTAAATTTCTCCAATTTTGTTACATTTTTAACATGATGTATGATGACATAGACTTTCTTTTCCGAAAGAAGCAAAATTGACGTATGACGGCATTTATTTCTGCGTGTTATTCCATTTAGTTATGATTTTCTTTTCATCCGCATTCAGATATAGTCCGGCTACAGTGAAAATTATATTTTGTAAATTTCACTAGTGGTTTATCAGAATATAATCATCTGATATATAACAATAAAACACTGGAAAGCATGAAATAAACATGGGTCTCCTTCACTAGAGTGTTAATTTTACAGGTATTTAATCAGTTTCAACAAATGAAGGGCTTTTGAATCATTTAGAAGCTATACATTCATTTACAATAAATAGGGTGTTTTTTTATTATAAATGACTGTTTATGCATCAAGCAATATAAGGTTCTCCCTAAGGTATTCTCCAAAACACCCATGTGACCAATACAATCTTAGATAATGAAAAAGAAAACTGATTTTTTTAAAAAAAAGTTTCGTTTTTCAAAATAGTATTTCATGCAGTTTCATTACCTGTTGATTATCTTTCACTTCTTATTATTTATTGCATTTCACTTTTTGTTTTGCAATTAGTTTTAGAATAATATTTTTCATGATATTGTCTCACCTGCATAACAGATTAAACACTCTAGCATATCCTTCGCACACACTTTTGCCGGTCTTCATCACTGATTCGGCATCATTTGAAGCTGACCTCGCTCTGCCAAAGTAACCATCATCATCATACCTAGAGATGAAAAAAAAATATTCAAATATTATTTGAATTTTTATATTCATTATCGACGTATCCAATCTATTTCACAGATTGTTTAATAACTTGTTGTTATTAGGTTTATAATTAAAATAATGAAACAAATAGAGTACTTAAAATGTCAGACATGGTCATGATTTTGAAAATGACAGTGTGTTTTACTTTTCCCATGCAGACCAAGTATTCTTATTCCTTATTACTCGTCCGGGAAGCAATTGAACCAATGTGCAGATGCAAATAAATCCGGCATGAACAAAAGGCTTTGTTTGATCTCCTACGTAAGAGTTGCACAGTCCTGCATAGGATATAGGACATAAGATCTACGCAGGAGTTAAAAACTCGTAATTAGGCTTCATTATCATTTCTATAGAACATGTTGAATTGGCACCAGGACGCTTCCGTAACTTAGTGTAGATGATACTTTTATTGTAAAATAAAAAATAGTAAATAGTAAATAGTTTAAACACAAACATTTTTTGAACCTTCTATCAGGGCCATGTCTGTCAATTGAATAGTTAATAATACGTTGAAGATGCTACTACCAATATTTTCACAATTGCTTACTCTATGTTTTCTGTGATCCAGACAAAAAACCCTCGTGCCAGCATTCTTGGATCGTTTGAAAATGATGACAGATATGCTACGAGTTCTTCTGCAGAATTGTTCAAATGGCTTGGAGCCTGTAGTTGAAAATAATCATGAAGTATGTTAGAAGTTAACTGAATTCTTTAAACAACTTCTTGGTATTGTGTTTTCAAAAATATATTTTTCTGTTTTAAAAAGGATTATAATAATTTAGGTACCTCAATAAGTAAAGTAATAATAATAAAAGAGAGAAAAATTACACTAAAAGCAATAGCAACAGATTAAACTATCACAAACAAGTGTGAACTAAAACATAAATATTACAGAACAGAACAGAACAGAACAAATATTTTATTTTGAATTAAGCATATACAGCTCATCTTCATATACAACAAATATATACATTCATGAATATGAAAAATGGTAAACGCATATCAATAAATGAAATAAACTAGTGAGAGTGTAATACAACACATGTAATATATTATACAATCCTTATATAACTTTAAACAATACAACAAGGTGGTCTTATGTAGCATTATCCGGCATTCAATGAATCAAATCTTAATTTAAAAGCTTTGTTACAATATATAGCTAATTTTGTTAACACTGACTTCCTTTCTGAATTCAGCAATTCTAAAATTTTAAACATGCTAGGGTTTCTTAAAAAATAGTTGGATATATACTGTTTCCTAAGAGAATCACACAATGTACAAATCAATACAAAGTGATATTCATCTTCGATGTCATTATTGTTGCAAATAGTACATTTCCGGTCATTTCTATCAATAATATTGTGTCTACCTGTTTCTATGAATAAATTGTGAGATGATAATCTAAGTTTAGCTAATATATTTCTTAATTTCATAGAGTCAACAATATCCAGGTATTTAGACCTGCTAAAATCGGTTTTAATATGTTTATACGAATACAAAGAAGAACAAATATGTACACTAGAATGCCAATTTGTGATATAAATATCTTTTAAACGACCGTGTAGGACTGGTATAAATATATTTAGCTTAACTGATTCTGGATGCATCCACATATCATTAAATCCAGCACTTTGCAAAAGTGCTTTGACTTTAGACAACCAATTTACAGTATTAGACTTTGGCCCTATCTCCAATCTCTGACAATTAACAATATAATTTAATATACAATTGCTTGTTTTATTTTGATATATTTTTATAAAATTTTTAACAATTCTTACATGACGTGAAATATATAATGGAATCGGCCTACTTCTGCAAACAATGAAAGAGTATTTGTTGCCATTTTCACATTAAGCAACCATTTACAGAACTTCCTATGTACAATCTCCAAATTTTCCGATGGTATGCTACCCCATACATTACAACTATAATTTAGAATTGGTAGAACATATGCATCAAACAGGTTGAACATAATATCAATGGGAACTTGCTTAGCTCTTGTTGCATTAAATAATGAGCTCATAGCCTGTAGTACTTTGCCTTTTAGTGTGTTGGTCGCTGGTATGAACGAACTTCCGCTAGACAAAACAATACCTAGATAATTAAACGTTTTTACAATTTCTATATTTAAACCCCATATATCCACTTATAACTTTTATTTAAAACTCAACCCTTTCTAAACCTTATCTACGTTTACAGTAAGATGCTATTTGTTACAATATTTTTCTAAACTATTTTAGAAATTTTGTAAAATTTGAGCAGATTCAGAACAGATAACGGCGTCATCTGCAAATAATAGCAAATAAATCGGTATTTGATCTAATGTTATACCATCATCTAAATTTTCTTGTAATAAATTTACTAAATCATTCAAAAAGAGACTGAACATTATTGGTGCAGTTATCTCACCTTGAAAGAGACCCATTTCACTACTGAAAAATTCAGACAACGTATTTACATGTTTCACTCACAATTTAACATCTTCATACATCGAATATATTACAGAAAACAATTTGCCACCAATACCACATTTTATCAATTTATACCATAGACAGTTCCTGTCAATTAGATCGTATGTTTTTTTAAAGTCAATGAAACAGCAAAATAGTTTCTTCTCATCATTTATAAACTTTTCAATCAAAGAATGTAATATAAAAATAACATCTACAGTGCTATAATCTGCTTTAAACCCAAACTGGGCATCCGTTATTTTGTCATTTTCTACAAACCATTTCTTCAGCCTGTTATTTATAATCACTGTGAAAAACTTAGCAAAACAACTTGTTATCGTAAATCCCCTATAATTAATCGGGTCTGTTGAATCACCCTTTTTATTTGTTTGGGTCGTCAGACCAAACAAATAAAGGTAGCGAAATTTCAGAGTCTAATGCTGTTAATTGCAATTGCCGAAAGTAGTCTACTTTTTTGTGTGTGTGTGTATTTGCGTTTATTTATACTCGCCACCGGTTGCCCATATGGGCGAGTCCCCCAGAAGAGTATTAGTCATTTTAGATTTTTGGAGGATAGTGCAATTACAGATACAGAAAGATGCCCCAATTCCAGAAGCCTCTCCTGGTTCTTTAGCGTGCCAAGTGTTTAAGCACCCATACACGGGACCTCGATTTAAAGTCTCATCCGAAAGACTGATTAGTAATTTTAGTTGGCCAGCCCGGGAATCGAACCCACAATGTCGAGCGCTCTAACCGATTGAGCTATGCGGGCTGGCGGTTACTTCCCTTTATATGTACACTAACGTCGAAAATGCAGGGGAGATCACTGCGTAAAGATGGTCAAAGACAGGCACATTAATTTTCAAGCAAAATAGTTCCCGAATGGTCGAAGATTTCTAATATTGTTTTATTGTATTTTCTGATCGAAAATAAGTAAATACAAAGCGGACATTCAATCTCTGACACAGAAGTTTACGACAAGCCTAACAACAAGTAGTTCTCAAAACAGCTTAAAACTAGCGATTTAAAAGAAAGAAATATTTTTATTTTGTTACAAGTATCCAACAAATTACAACGCATTCAAAGTTTAAAAATAGCGTTGGCTTATAGAATTGTCAATAAATGCATAATCACAAATTACGCGGATGAATATGATTTTATCAATGAAAATACTATTTTTAGCGATGTCGATTACCGAATACTACACAAACCGAGTAGTGGAATATATAGATTCTACATGTCGGACTGTTTGGGCGAGAAGATTTTCGCTAAATTATTCACTTCAATTTTAAACAACAGGTTTATCCTGAACAAAATATCCGAAATTAATAAGGATTACAAACCCGAAATGCAATGGCAGTTCTAAATTAAGAATGACCCAATAATATTCAGACATTGTTTGTATAACTTCTCCGCGGTGCAGGGGTAACGCGCTCGCTTAGTGAGTGAGAGGTCTGGAGTTCAAATCCAAGTCGAGCAAACTTTTTTTTTTAAATTCTTTTTTAAGTGTCTTTGTTAAGGAAGTAGCCATGATATGCAAGGATAAAGTGTAGCTGTCGTAAAAAATGAACATAAATGATATTTTGATGCAACTCTAGTTATGCAGAATTCCGTATGTATCAAACTCTGGTGCCTTGCAAAATGAATTATAATACATAAAAATAAACTTACACCTGTAGGTAAATACATACAGATATACAGTACGATTTAGATTGCAAAGATCAGAAAATACCACAGAACTTGCAGCCCTTTGATTCTTTATAAATATACATGCTTATAGTAAGCTCCAGGATTATTTACATTTGTGTTAAACAACAGTTAAAGTCGTTACAAGCCCTGATTTAGAATAATATGGCTTCTTCAGGCCGTTCACATATAAATTCACCGTGGCTGAAGGGTTTTCGCGCTCGCTTATATAGGAAGCGAGAGGTCTGGAGTTCAAATCCCAGTAAAGGCAACTAATTTTTTTCAAATTGTTTAAGTCAAATAAACATTGGATTGAATATCAGTGTTGCAATTAGTCTTAAAGCCAATTTACTACAATTAAAACGCTGGAAAGCATTGGTGGCACTATACATATAATCTCACAACCTGTACATTTCTTACATTCTGAGACCCAAACAAATTAAGCGCCTTCTGTGCTTTGATTATGTAAAGGAATAATAATACCGGATGACCAACATTTTGGGAAAGATCTACTATTAAGAATATCATTAAAAGCAATTGTTAAGGATTCACAATATCATTTATACATGAGTACTCGTTGTTAAGTACTCGTATAAGATGTTATCAGCAGAACAAGCTTTATTACTACTTAAGCTTTTTGATGCTAGAACAATCTCTTCCACAGATATCGGTTTATCAAGTTCTTCAAATGTAGCATTGTTGCCTTCTGATTCTAAGAAAGTTTTTACAAAGTCATCGCAATCATTATTAGTTTCACGTTTATCATGATTTGTAGAAAGATTTTTAAAATGTTCATAAAAAGAGTCAACTGTTATTTCTTCAATCCGATTTCCTGGCGATTTCTGTTTAAAAGTCTTCCAAAATTCACGTGGTGATTTATGTTTTATTGTATTAAGAGATTGGGCAAATGTTTTATTATAATTATTTTTACATTTACGACAATAATATTTATAGTCCTTTTTCTTGATATAAACGTTCATTCTTTTCTCATCATTTGGGTTGATATTATATTCATACATTGCCTTTTAAAACAATTAATGTTTTTCTTTGCACACTTCGTTATACCACTTTTGCCTGTTTTCGTCTGTACCGGTAAAATTCACAGTTTTACTTTTAGTGCAGCGTTCAAAGTAGTTCTTTCCATTTAAATGTAGAAAATCTGTGAATTTATTTACTAGTATATCGGGTACTTCTCCATTAGAAACATCATTTAACAAACTGTTTTCTAAATCACTAATGCCGTGTCTAACGTCATTTACAAAAGCATCTCTATATTCATTATTCCACTTGTAAAACGTATGTTTTTTTTTTTGGAAGATGTATTTGATAGCTCAGTATTTATACCGAAAGAGAACGAGACTGGCGCTTGATTTGAAAAGGTATTGAAATCTGTAACATTAAAACTGACTATGTCCTTAAAATTACCCTCCTCCGTCAATACATAGTCGACTAGACTTTCTCCGTTGTGTGTCATACACGTCCGTTTACCGATACCGTTATCGTTATGAAGTCTTCCGTTAACAACACGTATGTTGGTTGATTTACATAAATCAATTAAAAATTCTCCAAATCTATTCGCTGTTACGTCACACGTTGTGCGAGGGAGCGCCGAGTCAATATCAAATGTATCATCGTTTCCTATCATTCGATCGTTATATCTATTTATATAATTTTCAATTTTTCTAAAAATATCAACGTCATACGTATTGTGAATAGGAGAATTTTCTGGTGCTATATAGGTTACTGCAAGATATATGTCTTTTTCTATTTGAAAAAATGTTTTATCCAGTTTTAGCCAAATTAAGCAATCAATGTCATTTTGAACAACTTTAACCCCCTTACGGCAAATATCCTTTATATAAATTATAAGTCCCCCGCTAGATCTTCGTGCCCTCCAATGCTGAAAGCGTCTGTATGAATGGATCGGATTACTGTATCCGTTAAGTTCAATTTTAGACTTTTTGTTAGTCCAGGTTTACAGCTAATAGTTGTGATTCAGTCACATTTGGTTATACATGTGTTTATAAATTGGCACACAATGTATGCAAAAAGGGGACTTTCAATATATTTCATTAAAAGTTTATGTGGCACCTTTACAGATTTACTGGTGTAGGAAGACCGCAGGTTACCCCTACGTGCAATATTTCAGGCACGAACAGGTTCCTAAGTAACACACATTACCCTGGTAGAACCACAAGCTATAATTCATAATTACCTCGAACAATATGTAGTAGTTCTACCACGTGGTTATAGATCATGCAAATACGTATAAATAGAGCGTGCAATCTTTAATCATGTATAACGAATGTAAGTGCATGTATTTGACATTGAAGGAAAATTGAAGTCTTTTTCGGTTAAACGTTGACGTTCATTATTAATTTAAAAATGTCCACTGTTGTACAATTGTAAACATTTTTATACTTTCCGTTTCTACAACCATAACAATAATGATAAGTATATGAATAATGTGCTGTTTACTTTTATATCTATAAATTTACTTAATATAAGTGGATTTTTACTCGATATATTGGCACAAACTTTGTGAACAACTCCCATTTGTATACTTGTTAAGTTTCCTAGCGTATGTGAAGTACACTTTCAGTTCTATGAAATTGGAGGTGGTCAATACTACATATTTTTTGTTTCGTGACATTTTACATTAAAATTTTGTAAAATATAGTTTGAATGGCAAAATATCAGATATTATATGACTGGTTCATGAAGCAATCAAGTAAATTTGACCATTATATGGCAACCTTTAAAATAATTGTTATCGATTTACCAAAAAGTGGTAAACGATTTTTTGGACAGTAAGGCGACACATCTTATCGTATTGAACAACATAAAAGAAATTGTGTTTTATTTGTATGTACTTTATCAATTGGACAAGTTAAGCATAAACAATACCTATGCATTTATCCCAGAAGCGTAAAGCTTAAAACGTGGATTGGGTGAAATTACCAAAAACAAATGAATCTTATTAAAACTTGCCTTTACTTTAATTTCAGTTTAATAATCGTGTGATATTGCCATTGCCGTCAATGTGTAGGTTCATCCGAACCGAGCCTACAAAACTAAATATACAGGTAACAAAGAACAAAAGCACCTCATATGTGACTTTGCTTTGCTACTGTTGTTTCTCTTCGCGTTTTGTCCAGTACTGACTTGTATACATAATATCATTTAAAAAAAACAAACCTGTCTAGCATGTTGATCTATTTTCTGGTAGTCATATGTCTCTGCCAGGTTCCTTTGTTTCTTGTTGAAACTGTTATCTGTGTCTTTGAGATGTTTTGTTTTCTCAGGCACATTAACAGCTTGCAGCTTACAATCATTATTTTGCACCTATATTTTCAAAGTATTTATAAACTTTTACTCTTGTATTAAAAACTGCATACACAGCTGTATTTAACGGAAAAGAAACTATTCATAAACGAGTGGCGTAGCCACGAGTGAGAAAACTGTTTTTAAAGTTTACGAGATGAAAAAAATTACATCTTACACAACAAACGAATTTTCTTTTTATTTCATGCTTAAAAACAAGTTAAAACAAAATTTCCTTGATATTAACTTTAATATTTAAATCTGTTTTCCCCATAAGAAGCCTCTCTATTAGTCAAATTTCTTATAAAATACAAGAGGTCTTTCCTGAAAAAATAAGTTCGACAATCAACGTTAAATGGCGATGATATTATTCATTTTATTTAAATAATATGAAAGATCGCTTGTTTTAATAATAAAAACAAACAATTCTAGTAGGAGAAAAAGTCAAACCATCCATCCATATTTCCGTTACTTACGGCGAATTTATATTAGACTTGGATCTGTGAAATGTAAGCGGCCGCCATTTTTAAGAGTTGTGTATTTCATGGGAGGAAAATAATTGTGTTTGATTCAAAGGGATATCATTTGGATTTGTTAGTCATACATCTTTTAAGAAGAAAGAAAACTTATTTAAGGATTGTTACAGACAATTAATAAGTGTTGACAGATGTGTAAACATTCAAAAAGCGGCTAGGAAATTGGAACACATGGACTTTTTGAAAGGCTGCAACGCTGGGTTATTGACTTATTTTTCGGGCTGATGTCTGTCATTGCTTTTAAAGCTTTTAGGAAGTTATTGCTCGATGGATACTTAAATATGCCCAAATGTCATCAAGAGCTGCATATGGAAGGAATTGTATTTTTCAGACTGTAAACATGAAACAAAAATTTATAGAAGATATTTGGTAATTGTTAATTTGAATTAATTGAAGTAAGTTTTCTTCTTTTTATTACTCTTGAAATTTCAGTTTTTTTGCCAATTTCAGCTTTGCTTTTCTCTAAACAGCCCTTACAATGTCAGAATTGTCAACAATAATAAAATTGAGGTACCGCATGGGGAATATCTGAAAAAAGTAGTCTCATCTTTGAAAAGTGTGAAATTATATTTTAATAATTTTCACTGTGAAATTATCAAATATAATTTGCACGGATAAATCAGTAATCCACTGAAAAGCATAAAATATTCATATATTTAAAGGCATCTTTTCCAATAGTCTTAATAAGAAAAACAACAAAAAAACATTCGTTATATCCAATGTTCTTACCGTTTCAGTAAGTGTATGTTTTCTCCCTCCATAGTTGTTTGGCCCCAATTTGTCTGAACTATTTTGTGTCAGTTTGCTATCGTCATATTGTTGTCCATGACCTCTAGAAGTTCTGTCATTTTTGTATTGCTCGCATTCGTCTGTAGAAGTTTCTTCATTGTCGTATTTACCGTACCTTACTTGAATCATTCCTTCATCGCTGTAATGGCCGTAACGGTTTTTAGACATTTCTTTATTCATGCATTGGTCGTACCGGTCTCTAGGCATTACTTTATTAGCGTATTGGTCGTACCGGTCTCTAGGCATTACTTTATTACCGTATTGGTCGTACCGGTATCTAGGTATTACTTTATTACCGTATTGGTCGTACCGGTCTTTAGGTATTACATTATTACCGTATTTGTCGTACCGGTCTTTAGGCATTACTTTATTACCGTATTGGTCGTACCGGTCTGTAGGCATTACTTTATTATCGTATTGGTCGTACTGAGCTTGAGATATCCCTTCATTGCTGTATTTGCCGAACTGGTCTCTTGTCATAAACTTTTCTTTAGTATTGTACTGGTCGTGCCAGTTTCTAGATATTTCTTTATTCATGTACTGGCCAAACAGGTCCTTAGAAATCATTTCTTTTCTATTTTGGACAAACCAGTTTGTAGAGATTTCTTCATCTTTTAATTGCTCGTTCTCATATCTAGACACTTCTTGATCGAAATAGTTATTACACATATTTTCATTCTTCATTTGGTCATTCCAGACTCTGTCATTGCTGTATTGCTCATGCCGATCTCTATACATTTCTTCATTGCAAAATTGGTCAAACCGGTCTTTGGATATTTCTTCATCCCTTTTTTGGTCATTCCAGACTCTAGACATTTCTACACCGCTGTTTTGGTCATACAGGTCTTTATACTTTTCTTCATCCTTGTTTTGGTCCAACCAATCTCTAGAAATTTCTATTTTGCTGTTTTGGTCATACTGGTCTCTAATTTCTTTATCGCTGTTTTGTTCAAACCGGGCTCTAGACATGTCTTCATCGATGTTTTGGTCCAACAAATCTCTAGAAATTTCTATTTTGCTGTTTTGGTCATACTGGTCTCTAGATGTTTCTATATTTCTTTTTTGAGCATTTTGTTCTCTAAATAGGTCGTTATTGCTGTTAATTTCTTTATTTTTGACTTTGTCGTTTAAACCTTTCAACATTTCCTCAAATCTACTGCTTTCCGGTATATGTCTATCACCATTTAAACTTGCTCTGACTTCTGGCAGTTTTCCGTTAACATAACTTTTCCCTATGTTTTGGTCACTTGTTACGTCATTTCCATATTCTGACGTACGGATCTTTTGTACTTTTTCTTCTTGCATAGCAGACTGGCGTTTCCGTGAGTTTTACCCATGCCAGAAATTTCATCTCGCATGGGGGGGGGGGGTTCCAGATGAGTCGCGTGCCAAACAACAACGTCATTTTACCGCACTTTATGGATGAATTGCGTTAAAATGACGTCATTTTAGAAGGGAAATATGTGCTTATGATGACGTCATTTCACTGTTGTTATTTAAGTTGTAAGTTCATACGCTATTGTAAGAAAATAGTAATGGATGAAATGACTTTAATTTTCATGAACATATATCGCATTGAGGTAAACCATTTTAAATATGAAATAATATGGCAGAATATGCAAGAAAAATATCTGACATATGATTGCGGTTCGGATCGGAATATCCGTCCCTCGGGAACCCGCCCATGGGCGGTAACTCGGCAAGCCTCGTTACCGCCCAATGGGCGGGTCCCTCGGGACGGATATTCCGGTCCGAACCGCAACATATGACAGATATTATTAATCTCCATTTTGGTACTCCATTCCTTTTAAAACTTCTTCATTGTTTTGTTTTTTTACATGGGCAGTTACGATTTGATCATTGTGCGTTTTGTCCTTCCTGTTTCTTCTTTTGCTTTTTTTGCAACCATCTTTACTGTCAGACAAGTTATGTGTTTTAGATATTGGATCTTTTATTTTTCCATTTATATCTTCTTTCTCAAGCCTTTTCATTCCCTCTATTTGTTCAATTAATGGATTTTTTCTAGACCTGTCATCATACTGGTTTGTATCTTTCTTTGTTTTCCTTTCCTTTTCTCTTTCTTTTCCTTCAAAAGTCTTTTACGTTTGTTTTTCCTTTGCAACATGGTTCCTGTTTACTGGATATACTTTTTGTCTATTTTTAAATCCGGACTGATTACTGACTGTGATCGATTCATCTTTTAGATCATGATTTTTATGAAATACTGTTTGATTTCCATTGTCGCCAAATCCTCCGGGAATAGAACGTGAGACTGGCCTAGGCTGTGATGCAGAGCATCCCATTCCTCTTTTCCGATCAGCCCTTTAATGTTAAACCCTACTTGATAATAATGTGTCTTTCTCTGATAGAGGTAAGCATGATTAATTAAGTATAATATTTATATTTTTCTAATGCTCTTTGTAATTATATGAAAGTTTTTTGTTGGTTTCTAACACAATAGAATTGCTAAGAAAACCAACACACGCAATAAAAGAACAAACAAACAAATTACAAATCAAAACAAACAATAGAAAACAGATAAAGACTGTAGGCGGTATGTCTTTAATCTATTGTTTTACATTTCATTGGAAAAAGTATAATTTTATAATTAAAAAAAAGATATACATTTAAAATTTTATTGTTATTTTTTCATTTTAAATTTCATGTAAATTATAGTTTTTATTGAAAACATTTCAAACCTTTATATTTTCTATCCTTATTTTTCAGTTGCGAATACTTGAATTTCGTTTTCATTTCTCATTCAAAATGTATATGTCATGGCCTTTTTCAACGGTATTTGTACAGATAAGGCCAACTTATTTTTTGTGTTTGGTGTGGTGAGTGCATGCCACCGTACTTATTATTACGATTGTTATTTTATCAAAATGGTAAACCAAAAATTATAACAAAACTGTTAAATAGATTACTACATGTTGTTCCTTCAGCATCTACCGATGTATGCAAAGATAAGCCGGCACATCGATAAACGCCTTATAGCACCTTACATCGTCTACCGCTCGCAGGCAACCGTTTACGGGAGTAACGAGCTCGAGGCTCTGCCGAGTTTCCGCTAAATAGTTACCCGATATTAATTATATGAAATAAAATTACGACTTTTTGTCGTGTTACACTTTTTCCTTATAGTAGCGTATGAATTTATAACTTCATACATAACGAAAAAATGATTTCATCACACCAAAGCGATTCATTTTAAAGGCGCGCTGAAATGACGACATTTAAAGCACGCGGTCAGTCTGTGAACAATAAATAATCCTGTCTGTTATGCTAGAAACTGCGCGATACCCTATCCCATTAATACTGTAACCAGCGTGATAAACGAAAAATGCTGCTAGGCCTTAGGTAAAGCATGCGGACAACTTTTATTTACTTGATCATACACTAAATCGTGCCCTTGGTAACATCTGCTTTATTGACACTGTCAGTACTGCGCTATAATGTTTTGTTATGGTACAACCTGGTCGGGCATCCTCTTTGTAAGTCCTAATCTTTACCACCAGGTCATCACTGGTAATTTGAATGCTTTTTTGTCAATCTTTCTTGTTACATTTTATTCTGACTTATGATTCTGATTTTCAGGAAATGATAAATATTTCATGGTTATCGTTGTACTTTTAAATATTGTAAAATTTATGAGTCTAAACTTTCTAAATTATTGTAATGGATTTGCCTTGATTTGAATTTGGAATTGGCCATTCAAAGTTCCAGGGATTTCAATACCATTTTACTAAAATAATAAAACAACTTTTAACAACCTGATCAGATGTTTCTTTTAACTGAAATATTGTACGATCATTTTGTTTCCCTTTTTCTGTTTTAAAAGGACTAATATAAAAAACAAACAATTTTATGCCTGTTATATGTAGACGTTTGATGATCGATTTGGCATTGTCCTGTTATGTAATCCTTGCAATTTCACGTTTATGATAAGAGTTTAGCAACTCAAAATTATTCCATTTGACAAGCAGAATAAATCGCGACACAGTAAACTTGCCAATTGAATATTAAATACTGAATTCAAAAAGAATAAAGAAGTAAGGACGAATATTGCGTGATAATATCAATATGAAATATTTTTTTGTTAAGATAGTTGTAATGAATTGTAATCGTTATTGGAAAAGTGATAGGTAATCAAACACGTGTATAAAAAGGATATACATGTATGTATACATGTAATTTGAACGTGCATTTCGTATAGTTATACAACAAATTTATTTTTATAAAACGATGAATTGAAATTTGGACTGTATTCTTTCTTAATTTATCTCGATTAAGTCTTCTTAACATACCCTTGGTTCGAAATCTTCAAAATTTCTTTCATGTTTTTTTTTTTATTTCTTTAAGTCAAACATTAATTATATTATCATTCATATTATCATAAATAATCTACATTTCATAGGATATATTTATATTCCTTTATTTGATTCCCATCCATACATAACAACATAAAACCATTCAATTACATAATTTTACAAAATTAAAGTTGTGTGTAGACTATAAAAATAACCTAATGGAAGGGAGGCAACTCTGCAAAAATTTCCAATCTAACTGACAGAGTTTACCTCTCTTCTCATTCCGTATTCATATGCATATATATCAACTTTATATTTCTAAATATATTGAAAATCTTGTTCTAAAATACTCAAAGAATTTCTGGTACAATTGTTTTATCTTGAAAACCCTAGTCATGTTCTCTTACTTAAAACCATAAAAATTAGACCGAATAGCAACAGATTCTTAACCTATAAAATCATTTTCTGTATTTAATTATTTCGTATGATTGAAAAGATAAGACCTATATCAATAAAAATAAAACATTGTTCAAATTAAAGAAAATGTACGTCTTTGCCTAAAATAGAATAAAATTGAGGAATCAGTTAGCAATAGGAAAGCAATGACAAGACTAAATATTCATTTAAACAAATAAACATGCATCGCAAAATCTGGCATCATTTGATGGCTTATACAAATGGAACTAAACGTTGCTACAAGATGTGTGATGAGAGTTATATTTATATAAGTCAGCTATATACCTCTTGTTTGATATGTGGTTTAGGCGGATCGGTATGGCATGGGACAGGCGCACTTTAACAAAAGTGATTAAAATATAAAAATTGCAACAGGTTAAACTGTAATTCACTTCAACATAGCAAATTTTCTTTTCAAGTAAAGTTGACTTTTGCCCACAGAAGATGAATGGTTTTGCAAAAGATAACCGTTATTTATTATCTGATACAATTTGAAATCAGAAGTAACAACACCAAAATGCACGGAAAGCCTACCACTGGAGGAAAACAGTTTCTCTTAAACGGTGTATATGGGGCGCAGGTCATTTTGATAGCATAACAAAGTACTTTAATCAAGAATTTGATGACTTCTTCCTGACAGATCCAAATCAGTTTGTTTCTAAAAATTACATGGAAAGCAACCTATAAGAAAGGTAAAAGGTAACTTTTATCTGGACCTGCGTGTCTGGAGCAATTTAATTGTAATGTCAATTATAGTTCTGAAGCTTTTAAACTAGGTGTTGTGGCTTCCAGTCTCACAAAAGCAGGATTTAGAATGAGGAATGAATTTCCGATGATTTTCAAAAATGTAAGCGAAAGAAAGAGGAAATGTTTTTCATGTAAAGCTTTACCTTCGATCAAGGACCCAGTAATAGAACAGAATTTCAAAATTGTGTCTGTAAACAATTAACATTCTAGTACTTCCACACAAGGTAGGTATGTATACATAACTTATCATTTTATGTTCTTCTTCTTCATTAAAAGCAGCTATTTGTTATGCGTAGTACATTCAAGATATGATAAATCTAGATTCGATATAGAACTGTTTTATGTCATATGAACTTTTTGTAAAACTTTTGTATTTTTTTTGACAAAATTTCGACAAAACAGAAAAACTTAAAGCATTTTTACAAAAGTTACTAAAAATAACAAAAAGATCTTGTCTTTGTGAATAAAATGAATCGTTTAATATTAAAACGTGGAAGACGGACAAAACCCCACCAAAATTAAGGTGTGGGGGTTTTGTCCACTCTATAAAATTTTGAGGTGTGGGGTTTTGACTGGTGGGATTTTGTCCTACATTCTTAAAACGTGTTATCAATCGAACAAAAATCAGTCGTCTTAAACCTCAAGATTACACTAAACGTTAATAAATTATTTATTAATATAGATCTATTAGATCTATAATAATTATAGACGTTGAAATATGAAATTATCACCTTCCGGCCCTACTCTGACGTGTAATAATGTCTTTAATACACTTGGTAGATCTAATAGTAGCATTAAAAAAAAACAAAAAAAAAAACAACAAATAGAATCTACTTTGAAGTTTTTTAGTTGAAATTCTTGTCTACTCTTCTACTGTTCTGTACAGAGACGTTTTACTGTTTGTGTGTTCAAAGCAGTAGAATCTAGAAGGAGTGAGTTTGTCGTATTATATTTCTTCAAATTTCAATAGTAACCAAAATGTGTTAAGCTCTTAAGCTCTCATAATAGAAATAAAGCAATTCGTGCTGACATCCTACTTTCACTTTTACAGTTAACTGTTTGATGACGTAAAATATGACGTCATTGTTTCAGTTTGTGCACGTGCACATGTTCTGCGGGCTGATAACTAGATCTCGGCCCCGGGCCGCAAACTCATATTAGGTCACGTGACACTCATAATCAGTTGAAATCATAGGCAATTTTGTTACTATATATAGTAACAAGTGAATTAATTACCTCTAACGTTTCCGTTTTCACACTTCTGTCGTTAGACGTCGAATTTTATGAAGGAAACTCTTTCGATAAATTCAAACGTGGCCCCAGCTTTGCCGTGTACAAATACGCCCCGCTTTGAAGTACGGGAACCAACATATTACCGAAAAGCCGACTGGTTTCCCACTTCAAAGCGCAGCGCATTTTGCACACGGCAAGCTGGGGCCACGAAAGATTTTGTAAATAGAGTAAAACGGTGATAATCTTGATGTATATTTCGCCTGTTGCGTTGTTTATATTACCGTTGAAGTTTAAAATTAAGAGGTTAATATGTGACCCCGATGTCTTTTTGCCTTGTATAAGTAAAGAACAAACTGAGGGTTACTGGTTCATCAATTTAATTTGTAGTGGACACTAGCTTTATATATAATTCCAATTTGGTACATCTCAACATCAAACATCATATGTCATACATCATACAACATACACATCACATTTACATCACATCTACATCACATCTATATCACATCTACCAAGCCCTGAAAGTATAAATACCAAACATCCCATACTATCATGAAATATATAGTTTTATACATTTGTATGACTTGTATACACTACAGTACCTTAAATATACTTAATCAACAGATCAGTCTATATGGATAGACCATTCATTTTATCTCATGTAAATAATTCATGTACACATAAAATACATCTTTAAATGTATTACATCATATTGTACCTGCATCTAGTGACCACTTAATCATTTACTTATAAAACAATATACATTATGTTCAACTTAAGAAATACATATAGCTCTAAAAATATATAAACAATGACATATAAATATAATATAACATACCAATTGTGGATCAGACTCTGTAAATATACATGTACCTCTGTCACTCACACCTATCTCACTTTGCTGTTAATTATGCTGTAAACTGTAATTTACAAACATCAGTGCAATACAAATAGAAACAGTGATTTCTATGAATAACTATAAGATAAGAACATATGCTGCCATCTTGAATTCTAACACTCAAGAACAATACAAATTTATCAAAATAACTTTTATCAAATCCACAACTGTATTTAATTACTATAAGTCTTCATTTAGTTGACAATAGAACTTTTAAGAACAAATAAATAAAACATACAAATACCAATTCCTCAATCAAAATCCTTATTAATAATATTAAACCAACACATCTACATGTCACAATGACCAACAACTTCTTTAACACAAAGAATGACCTCAAGTGACCCTAACTTTAGGAGGGAAACGTTATGGTTGAGCAAATAGCAAATGTGGTCAAGGGGACATAATCACACAAAGTAAAGATTAAAATCAAACAAGGCCGACAGAGTTACCTTTCTTGAAAAATAGCAAAAACCTTAAAGAAAGCACTTGGTTACACATTTCCGCCCCGTCTTAAATGACGTCCCGTCATTGTCTCGTCAAAATATCTCTACTTCAACTAACTAACTAAAATCTATGATAGTCATAGATTAATACTAACTACAATAAACATGTATTGTGAATATATCAAACACAATATGATTCTCAATATGATCAACTCCATTTATTCAAAAAAATGTTTATGCTTTAAAAGACAATGTACTTAAAGAACAATCTTCTTAAAGAACAGAGTACCTTAAAGAATAACATACTTCAACTTTTTAACATCCTTAAACACAATTTTATTTTCTAGACAGTGCATTTAACGGACAATGTACATAAAGAATAATGTACTTAAAGTACTATGTACTTGATACAATGTACTTTAATTAACATTCAACTTTTCTCCCCCCTGCTTAAAATAAAAATGTCCCCATTTAAAAATGTCATTATGATATTCTCATAAGAAACATAATACTATATTTTTAAAATAATAAATATCAAAGGTTTTATATTAAGTTTGATATGATTTAGGTTTTTTATTATTATTATTATTATTATTAAACCTTAAAATCAGCTTAAAATTTTTTAAAACTTATCACGACATTAAAGATGTTACTATTTTTCTTGCTGTGTCTATGTCCATGGTTTGAAGTACTCCTGATCCAATTAATGTCTCCAAAGGCTTTGAATCGAGAATCATTATGGTGTAGTGCTGATAGTGCTTGTATTAACAATGCCGTACATTTGAAAATCTTCATATCTTTTTGGTGTCTTTCTTGTTCTATCAGATCTTCTTGGTGGATCTGGTGGTAAAAGTCTTTTCCTGTTAGTGTTTCTCTTAAGTTGTTTTGTTTGTGTCTGTGTGTCCGTTTCTCCTATTGTTGTGTCTGTATCAGTATCTGTTACTTCTACAGTATCTATCTTTGGCTCTGTCACTCTTTCTTCTAATTGTCTTTCACTTCCTTCTCTTACGTTTCTGTCATCTGTTTCTTCTCTATGTTTAACACTTCCATCCTCATCTCCTTTTTCTCCTTCTATATGATCAATATTTCTATCTCTTTCTTCCAATCCACCCCTTTGGGAAAATGATTTTAAAACCATCTTGCCTAGTTTTTTTTCTATCAAATAAACCCGGGTTTTCTTCTATATGCCCAAAAAAGTTCATTTTTTTCTTAAAGGTGAAACCCTTCTCCTACCTTTTTGTATTTTGTTTTTCTGTTTTTTTTTTTCTCAAACCCTCTATATTTTTTAAGAGTGTCCCCATCTAAACTTTTTTTTATCAATTTCCCCTCTTTTTCCCTTTATTATCCTGTCTCTCTTTTTCCCCATCAGAAACATTTTAAAAGGTTTTCGGGGCATTTTTCCCATTATGTAGTTTTTAAAGACCCTTTTTTTTCCCCTTATCTTTTGTTTTGGGAGGGGTTTTTTGTCAAAAATTTTAGGGGCCCGGCCCCATATTTTCGTCTCTGGGAAAAAGGAAAATATCCAACATCATCTTCATCAGACTCCTCACTTGTGACGTCACTCTTTCTTTCTTCGGATGCATCCGTTCTTTTCTCTTGTCCATGTTCCACTATATTTTCTATCTTCTCTTGTATTTCTTCAGTATCATCTTTATTATCTTCATTATCATCCAAGTAGTTTACCGGATGTAGATGATTTCGATGCAGTGTTTAAACTGTACCATTGGGAGATTCTCACTTGAAAAACAGGTATCTCTTTCCTTGGCTGATCTATCACTTTAATATATATCCTCTTCAAATCTGTCTGCCAGTTTATGTTTTCCTTCTCTATGTGCTAGGATTTTAACTAAAAACTCGGTCTCCCAATTTCTATTTTTGCAACCTCTGATCTTCTTGTCAATATGTGTTTCTTTTTGCTTTTTTTTAGCTTTATCTGTATGTTTGTTTCTACAATTTGTCTTGTTCTTTCCATCCTTTTCTTTAAGTCATCAATATATTCCCTTGTATTCTTATTAGAAGTTTGTTCTCTTGCATTTTCAAACATGGTATCAATTGGTAATCTGGGACTTCTTTCCAAACATTAGTTCAATATGGGGCTAATTCCAGTTGATTCATGAGGTGTACAGTTTAATATGCAAACACTAAAGAGTTAATATATTTTTTCCAATCAGATTTTTTGTGAATTTTCCAAAGTTCCAAGCATATCAAGTAGCGTTTTCGATTAAATCTTTCTGGACCGGAATTGGATTGCGGATGATACACAGATGTGTGAGATTTCTTCATGTTAGTTTAGAATGCAAAGTTCTTTAATGATGTCAAGATTCAAAATGGCCCCCTGATCAGAGTGTAATCTAGAAGGTATACCATAGTGTATGAATGAAATTGTTGTAAAAAGGCGTCTGCTGTTGTTTTAGCTGTCTGGTTTTTTTGTTGGTATAGCCATAGAGAATTTTGTGAAATGATCTTTTACAACTAATATGTTACCAAAAACCTCCTTTTGATGTTTCTAGAGTCAAGAAGTCGAAACAGACTAATTCCAAAGGGTATGTAGTGTGAACGTTAACTAATGGAGCTTCTAGAACTTGTATTTGTCTTTCGTCTCAGGCATCGATCGCATTTTGTTACCCAAATTATCTACATCTGTTGTCATTCCAGGCCAAAAGAATCTTTCTTTAACAAGTCTGAGAGTTTCTCTCCTTTCCCGGATGACCAACATCGTTGTGAAGTCCTCTTAAAATATCTTCTTTGTAGAATTCTGGTATTACAATTGATCCAATTTTTTTTGTCATTTTGTTCTGTTTTCAAAACAAAAATTCCTTTTTTTCCTTTTTTAAAAATTTTTTAAAGGGTTTTTTTTCAATGAAAAAAATTTTTTTTCTTTTTTTTAAACATTTGCCCCCGGGATTTTTTTGATCTATAAATTGTTTTCCCCATTTACGATTACGGGGTCTTCTCTCTTTTTCCTTCAATGTTCTCATTTCCAGTTTTTTGCCATTGGTTGCCTTTTATTCTCGGTTTGTTCTATTAAAATTTGATTTCATTTTTTGGAAAAAATTCAAAATATGAAGTAGTTGTTGATTTTACAAAGGGCCCCTTTGACTACTTTATTTTTTATTTAATAATGTCTTCCCATTTTTTGTATAAAGGGTTTTATAGGGAAAAACGACTCTTTTGCATCTGCCCCCAAGGGGTTTCTTACCCCTGCTCTGTAATATATGTCGAAGTCATAATTGTCCTAATGCACTGCCATCCTTTGTCCCGTGGCAATCAAGTTTTGCTGAGGTCAAGATGTATGTCAAAGGATTGTTATCTTGTTTAGAACAACAAAGTGATTGTTTGTCAGATAATCTGAAAAACTTTTCAGTGACAGCCCATTTCAAGCATAAATACTCTAGCTTGTTATGCAGAATTAGTTTTCTTTTCAAGACTTTGATAATGCCTCTGCTTTGGCATAGGCCCAATGGACTATCGTTTGTTGGTTGTTCCTGTTTCCTGGTAAAAGGGACGGCGCCCAAAGTTCCAATTGTCGAGCGTCGACATGAAGCTTCAAACGGGCTTCTGAAATTCCGGATATGCCAGTATTGGAGGTGTGGTCAACTTCTTCTTTTCAATTTCTCAAAAATATCTTGCTCCTTTTTTCTGTCCATGACCCATTCTTTAACTATTTTCTTAGGATTTTTTTCTTGCCAGTTGGATGTGGTAATTAATTCTGATTAAAGGTCTGGTTTATTTTGCTGAAATCCTAATGAAGCGTCTGTAATAACCCAAAAGCGAATGATAGAAAATGAATAAGTTCTTCAGATGTCTTTTGAGTTGGCCAGTTTTCTTAAATTTTGTTCAATTTTAGCCTGGGTCTGTTCCTCGATTCCTTTCATCGCTTACAACAAATGTCCAAGAAAATTTATTTCCTAATTCTTGAAGAAGAAACATTTCTCTGCTGCCAAGTTTAAGAAGCACATTCTTTAAGTCTACCAAAAATATTAAGTCTATTCTTTCAAGATGTTCTTCAAAATGTTTTTACTAAATATGATGAGATCGTCCCAAGTAGAAATAACACATATATCGGCATATTCAAGTCTTCCAAGACATTCTTTCCATTAGGTCCTGGTATGTTGCTGGACTGTTTGTTAAGCCAAAAAAGGCATTTGTTGTATTCCCAGAACCCAAGTGGACCTGCAGTAAATGATGTTCTAGGTTTATGACCTCTTCTTTCTACCTCCACTTGATGGTAACCTGACTTCCCATATCTATGTTGAAAAGTACTTAGATCCATGTAAGCAGTCAAAAACTTCTTCTATACGAGGCAAAGCATATGCAGTCTTTTACAGTTCTTTCGTTCAACATTCTATAATCACGCATAGTCCAAAAACTTTCCGTTTTTCTTTCGTACCAGTACTATTGTTGGAAGCCCAAGGTGATTTAGAAGGTCTGATGATACCACATTGCTAGAAGTTGTTCCAAGTGTTGTCGTACTTCATCTATCATATTAGGAGGGATTGCGTCTATGGCGTTGTTTAAATGGAATTTCATCCAATAGATCGATTCTGTGTTTTTACTTTACTACACTGTCCAATAT